CATCTGCGGAATTTCTGGTTTTAGTCCATTCATCTTCTTCGGCTTGATCCGTCAATCAAGCGTGGATTTCAATAAATCTTCATCGAGCCCCAATCTCTTCAAAACGAGGTCCAATTTCTCTGAATCAAGCTTTGATATCTTCATCTCTTGGCTTCATTATTAGATTCGAGCTCTACTCTTTTGATTTCGAGATCGGATTTCCTCGATAGTTCTGGTTTGTTCATTCACTTCACAATCTATCTCTGTAGTTGTATCGAGTTTCAGATTTCTTGTTTCCTATGCAATTTGTGTTTCAATCTTGAGCTCAAATCGATTTCAATGGTAAAACGACACTGTAACTGTAAGTAAGGCATCTACACCGAATTTCGTGAAGATTTCTTCACCAAAGGCTCGTGATGATCCTTTTGGTTCTTCGTCACCTCGAATTGTTTCTGCTTGTCCAGGCCAGAGTAATTTTCGAGATTCTACACCGGATTTACCGGTAATCACATCTCCGAAGACTCGCGATAAGCCTTATGGCTCATTGTTATCGCGCGGTTGTTCAGATGTTTCAGATTGTGTAAAATTTCCAGCCGGAGTGGTTCTCCCATATGGTTCTCTATCAAGACCACGAGATAATTGTTTTGCATCCTGTTCTTGGCGCATATGTAGTGACATGGTATGCGACTCACTCTTTCTCTTCGCTATGGATATAGATTCTGGAATGATCTTTGTTGATTCTGGAATGATCTTAGCTGGTGATGTTATTGTTGCGTTCTGGCATTTGGAACGTAGATATGTTCTTCGAGAGGGGGAGCTTTGGTTAGAACATTCTAGGCAGAATCATACTTGCAGTGTTGATTACCAATGCTTAGATCTTGCTGCAGTTTGTGTGAAATCTGTGATTGATCTTCCTGTGTTATGTCATGTTGCTGCGAGAGTACTTCATTCCAACTCTCATGTTGCAACACATATGAGAAGGATTGGTCATTTCCCTGTCGTGATTCAGTTTGCTATGTTTCTATACATGAGTATGCTTCAACCATTTGCTAGTCAGGGGGAGCTATAGTTAGAAAGTCTGCAGCTGATCATAGAGTTACAACATCTTGTTTTCCAGTTCAGAGCTTATTCACAACTGGTTTCAAGAGAATGTAATCTGTATTGCTTGCTTCTCATTTATCCTCCCTGGATGGTTACAAGATTAAGCGTATTATTTAGCTCATCTCAAGAGCGTGCTTCTGAAGTTTGTCTACATGTTCACAAGCTTTGGTTTGCTGCTTCTGTCATGCATCTCGTCGCAGATCAAAAGTTTTTGCCGATTGTTCATTGTTGCAGAACACAGTTTTCTGGTCCTGATTTCACTACTACTCATGAGATGCGGCTGAAGCAGAGTTTGTCTCATGGCGTTCTACAGCGACAGAGCCGTATTTTTTTTTGCTCGTTCTGGTTGGTACATGTCTATCCTTGATCTCCTTTCCTGTTCTTTACCGAGACCACCAGAGGTTCCTTGTGATTTTGGTTGATCTTCTCTTCAACATTCCCCACTTAATTCACATTGCTTTCAAGTCCAAGATGCAAGTTCATTACATCTTGAGGGGGAGTATCAGATGTTATAGTTTGGTTTAGAGAAAAGCGGCTTATACCGGATAGGTTATGTTGTATATAAACACATTGTAAAGCTTTATTTACATTTGACAGAAATAGAAGAAATAAATCTTAAATCTCTCTCTCGATCTTCATCTTCTTCATGTAAGAGAATCTCTTGTTTCTGTTCAAATCTCAGTTCACTAATATGGTATCAGAGCATTGAGCTCCATCAAAAACTCAATCGATCCTTTCCGTTTTTCTTTTCTTCGTTTATTGACCTAGATTCGTCGGAAATTTTTTCGATTGATCCTCTTTTCACCGGTTATTCCGCCGGATTTGAGTTCCGATTTGATTATTCTGTTAAATCTCTGCTACACTAATTCCGATTTGATCATTATGTCAAATCTCTGGTTTTTGTTCGATCTCTTTGATTCTCTTTCGTTTTCATCGATTGGATGTGAAATCGAGTTTCGATTGTGTTTTGTTTGCCATTGGAAGCAACAAACCCGTTGATCTCCGACTCTCTGATTTGCGATCTCGGAGAGATGAGCTATGGCGATCCATTTGGAGAAAA